ACAGTATCTTTCTTTGGTATGGCGGGCTGGTATGACTTGTGTACTTTAGACAAGTTAGATACTTACTGCGAATTTAAAACTACCATAGAATCAGAAAGATATTTGTTTTCTGTTCATATTCGAACCCATGTGTAATCACTATCTCGGCTACGATGTTCATCACATTGTTTACGAATTGAAAAAGACAGAGCTCATCTAGAAAAAGATCAACGGACGTGCGAGCTTTGCAATATGAATTCTATTGAAAACGAGTTCCATTATTTATAATTTTTATAACCACATTAGATGTCTCTATATCCCACACTACTACTGCACCCCACCAACTGTAAATAAATTTATCGAATTATTGAAAACTCAAAATGATGTACTTCTACAGCGTTTAGCTGCGTTTGTATTTAATGCTATGAAACTTAGGAGGGAAGCCGCTGAAATATTGTAAATAATTTAAATATTTTGTATTTACTGTTTTGGGCCGATGGCCATGTATCAGTTAATAAAGATCCTACTGAATTGTGTCTATTGCATATATCCCCACATGAGACACCATTGTATAATGGATGCACGGACTCATGGTTGATGGTTCGAATCGTCCGCATTGTTGCGTCCACAAGCATTACGTTCAGCTCAGGAGTGAATATAATTTATGTTTTGCTCCGATGAGCATATAGATGAGATGTTTACTATCCGGGGAGTTAAGATGAGTTCAAGCATTGACCCATATTAGGCTCACTGACACGTCTACCCGGAGTAATGTAAATCCATATATCTGTACGTTTTCCGTTACGTGCTGTGTACAAGGCGCTATGATCCCAACGAAGAGCGTTTACGAATGTTCTTCCTAGTGTAAACAAACATTGTTTTCTGTAAAATTATTTGTGTTCTATATAGACGTTGTCTGTCTTGTATGAACTCTTAATTACCCATTTTTATATATATATTTTTTTGTATTTAATAGTATTTTATTGGGTTGTTCAGTTCAAATACATTTTACATCACTGTAATAAAGATATACATTCCTCAAATAAAGTGAAGTTTTACATTATTTTTAGAACTTACGGTATGTAAATCACAAATGTGATGATTAGTAATCTACTCTAGAGAAGTTATACAATAATTTGAGGATCTGTACCTCACTGTAGAGAAGCTATTCATGACTGAGATTTTATACATTACTGTAAAGAGATACATGTAATACATTATTGTAAGATCTCGCACAATGTACCTCATTGTAGAGCAGTTATAAATTACCTCGAGGATTTACACCATACCGCAAATTTTTTGTTACAATTTTAAGGAAATTTCCCCATTTTTTGATATGGAAATTGAGCTTATTTTTTCTAATGGCAATTCAATATTTTGGATACTTTTTAAGAATCTTTTCTACGCCATTAAACTCTAGTCAGTTTTTGTTTTTTGCACCTTGATATATAGATATAGAGTTTAGCCACTCTATTTTTATATTTAAATATTCACTCAAGTATAAATAACTACCTCACAAAATTGTGACAAACACAGGACCATTGCTTCGTTATTGACGTGACTCCATGAAATAATTGACTGCCGTTCTTTTTTGCGCATATATACTTCGAAATACCGTGAAAGCTGATTTTGTTTGAATTGATTATATTGTTATATGAACACGGGCTTCCTGTCCGGGACCTGGGAAATTTGCCTTGCTTGGCTTGTAACACTTACACGTAGAAATACCAGATTCTGCCCAAATGAATACACATTAGTTCATTACAGATGGTCCAGCTTTATTCACCCAAGCAGCCAGCTTAGGCATCTAGCTCCATGGCTGAGGTAACCCCTCGCTGTACAGTTCTCCCCTGCTTCTCCTATTACAAAAGGTTACAAACTCCCTATATTAAAAGTCAAACTTGCGATAAGCCAATCGCCGCAGTCGTTGGCACGATCTCATTATTTCCAGGGATGTGTCTCACGGTTTATATCTTGTAAAGTCGCCACTACTAATTACAATAAGTAAACAATCTATTTATCAAAATCCTAAAATATGTGTTTATAATCTCTACCCTAAACATGCCAGTTGTTGATTCTAAACAATATTCCAACGGCGTGGGATTGAAATATGCGAACATGAAGTCGCTATCATAACAATATGACTATTTAACAATTATATTGACTCTTGACTTAGAATAATACCTCAGTCCGCATTTCAGATTTGTCGATATTTTCATTCAGTTCCATAAGCCAGTCAGCCATTCAAAGTGAGTTATATTTATTGTAGTAGCTTTCTGAGCCAAAACGATGATATGCAATGTGTCAGTGATGGAATAAGCCTGAGCATCTTGATGCGCTAGACACTGACTAGACACGAACTTAATTTGGTTTTCTAACCAAAGCGTATATCCGACATTGACAAATAAATGTACGTATTGATTAAAACCCACATTGCATATGAGATCCTGCAATGTCAATCACTGTAAATATGCGTATACATAGCATAACAAGAAATCTGCTTTTGAAAATTAATAGCTATATGTTCACTCATTAAATGTATTATGGGTTCAATATTATGATAGGTCACGCTGTTACGTCTAAAGTTTTAGTACATGACATTATATGTAACACTGATAGGCAGTCGTGTTTCGGATACGGATTTATTCAAATGTTGACATCTAACTGGAAGTTGAATCGACTACGAGCATGATACCCCAGTGGTGTTATTGCGATTAGCTACAATCTGTCAATGAATGATAGCTTATATGGAACACCACGCATGACATGATATGGAGCTCGTCAACAATTCAATCTCAAAACTATGTATAATTGTTTTACTATATTGACAACATATACTTCTATGTCAAATGATTCGTCCACATAGCACAGTTAGAAGATTCACTTGTTAAATTTCCTATTTGAATGGCGAAACATAACTCATGGTTATGGCATGTAATTTGTATGCATTGAAGATTTCCTACATAATATATTTATCTTTCTTATTGTTGAGGGTAGCGTCCATTAATTTCGTTTTGGATGACAGAGGTAGGCGGGGATAACTTCGTCCGTCCCGGTCACTCCTTGAAATGTACTAAGAACTGTTCGTTGGACCATTGAGCGATCCCATAGACCTTGAAATCCCATAGTGATACGTCTACGCACAGTTTACGACGGAATCAGGATTTATACCGAATCACAGAATGCGATCAAGCCTTTGCTTCATCTGGGACCCATTATTCCCTATACCCATTCCATTTTCAGTTGTTATTGGGGCCACGTTGAAGTTTTTTCTCTCGTTCCTGTGAACGTACGGACAAATGTGCAGTGTTAATTTATTTTGCATACACCTGAAACGTAAAAGGGTTTCAGTAAAGATCATAGGTCATCCAAATCCAATAAAGGGATTGTGCTTATACAAACAACATCCAATATTTTCTGTTTTTTTTTGTTAATCAGCAAATTCCACAAAATTTAGCTTAATGACATCATCAATGCGTCAAAAACTATAAATGTAAAAAAAAGAGTGATTGGATAGGTTTCTGTAACATCGACGCTGATATGCTGTGTTATTCCCAATAGCCATATTTAGTAGCAAATTTCCTTTCTTGATTAATATTACAAATTGACGAAAACATAAATGCCGTTCACTTCTTAGTGTGTTTCGGTTTATTACTCATAAAGTGGAACGTAGCATTAAATTTTATACATATTCTCGTAGGATTGCTGTGATCCAAGGCATGTCATATAAATATGCATTTCTATCAACACAGTAGAGAGTAGCCAACAAAATGTAGTGTATGTTTTGCTCTTATAAGCAATTAGATGAGATGTTTGCTCCCGGGAGAGTTGAGATGATTTCAAGCATTGACCCATATTAGCCCACTGACCCATTCACCCGGGGTAACGTAAATCCAAATATCAGTGGCTTTCCGTTACGTGTTATGTGAAGTGATATACTCACAGAACGACGTTTCTGAATTTTCTCCCTAGTAACTTGATATCAGTGGCCTTGACATCTCCTGTCACACACATGGACTTGTCTCTTCTTAATTACAATAACATTTAATCATTTCGTTATTATTCATGATAAAACAACCATTAATAATCCAGTATTATGAGACATGTGGAATGATGCTAAGCCCTCGGGACTATGCGATCTTCACACAGGAAGAGATATCCACATTTATGAAGTCACGATGATATCGTTACTTTTACGTCGTGACAACTGCCTGTCTCGTATTCTAAAATGATCATGGAGCTAAAAAAAACGTCACGACTAACACGTCACTTTCAACGCAATAATTAAATACAAATATGCACCTACCATGTAATTTCGAAGGAATCTAAAGTTTATGTGGTATTTAAACGTTACGGCCACAGCGCAACGCGTCTTCGATTTTTTGTAAAATAATCGCGCTTTGTATTTTTCGCATGGAACCTATATCGAAAAAGGACGATGAGGCATTTACAATATGGATTAAGTTAACCTTTCAAATGCATTTGCAGAATAAGTTTTTTTACCTTGGCGATATTAGGGCCATTGATTAGAATATGGGCCCCGGCCCGATAATCGAGTATTGAGGTAATATATGACGTATTTGTTTAATGCATCATAGGCTAAAAATGCAATGAACGTATGGAAAAAAATTGATACTACACAACACCAACACATAATAACATCGAAATTGTTCAACATGGAATAACACATAAAAAGTGATATATTTAGACAAGGTATACTTTTCAACGATTTATTTAATAATAACGTTACTGTGTTTGAGATGTAATGATTACTATAATTTGCTAGCTCCTGTGCTAGAAATTATCAGCCAGTTAAAACCATCTTTGAGTAAATGCATGCAAGACTATTGTTTTTCTTTATCACTACTGTTTTTTTTATAGATGGGGTAATTCATCGTTGTTGAACTCCGTGAGCAGTACCACAGCCCCAACCAGGTATGCTACCATCGCCAATACGAAGAAAAATCGATCAATTACAGTCGCCATGTATCGCCATTCCGCCAGTTTCTGAAATGAACAACAGTTGAAATAAATTACTTTCTTTTTGTTTCGAGCATGAAAGTTCGAGACAACGTGATTTCAATTTTTGCATTGAATATATTATTGTTTATTGATTATATTGCCACTCGATTTAACATAATTTTTTATTGACTCCTACCTCAGCTTGCGTTTCAGAGTTATTGATGTTTCCATTCAGTAGTTGAAGTTCCGCAAGGATCATCTGCAGTATCTTATTATTGGTGTAGTCTTCTTCGACAGCCGTGCGTTTTAACTGCATTCTGAAAGTGTCGGTGATTGCCACTTTCTGTTTCATATTCCCGTTTGACAGTAAAGGTTTTTTACCCTTTGAACTACTGGCGTTTCCTAACAATTGACATGTGCTTAGAGACTCTTCGTCTTCCACATCGACGCGTACATTATGTGTATTCCCGCGCACACCGGAACGATATGGTTTCATGAGCAATACTTTCGGTAAAAAAATCAGATACAGTTTTCTCATCCAACGTGGCATTACAAGATTGTATGCGGGTCTGTGATGTAACCGCAAAACAGCGACGCTGATGATGATGGAGCATGTCACCAGAAATAAGTTAAACATGAGGAACTGGATTATAATTGGAACACTATCGGAGGTTGTCGGGATAGTACCAGCAACAAGAACGCTGAAGACCGATATAGCAACGAGTAATGAAACTCCAAAAGACATTTTCTCACCAGACTCGGGCGGTAAACATAGTACCAATACTGTCAACAATGCCATAGCAATGGACGGTAATACAATGTTGGTGATGTAGTATAGAGGTCTTCTTCTGAGAGTGATGGTGAAAACGATCATACTATAGTGTTCATCGACAACGTCGGTGATCAACTTGGCTGATGAACTGACCCAATCCCACTCACTGTTCGTTAAAAAGTTCTCTTTGACAATCGTGTCGTATATAGGATCCATCACTACCTCCCCGGCATCGTGCTCCCATGGGCCGAATTTTAAATGACATTGCTGACTGTCGAATGGGAAATATTTGATATCCATGATACAAGGCGTGTGGAACGTGGCAGGTGCCCAGTAAACGATACTTCCATCGTGATGGAGTCTGGTGCCGTCAAGAGGAGGGATTGAATACTCGCCGTTTACACTGATGGGATACAAGTGTGAATTTATATTAGTATTACAAACTAAAGATCACATCCAGGATATCACGTGACCCTTTTTTAAAGCCTGAATGTCCTAAGATGATATAGATAGTCGGGACGCTCGGAACATTATCAATTTGGCACAATTTCATTAAGCCATATTAGGCCCCACGGGGATTCATGCCTCATGGTGATTGACAGGCATATCCGATTAATTTATCGCATATTAAATATTAATAACTTGCAGACAATATATAAAAATGTTTCTTATTAAGGCATGATAACAATAATTTACGACCTTGGACATTGACGAATAAATTAGATAAATCCTCACCTATTGTCCAGCATTACGTGAGGTTTCCAGACATTACTGAATGGCACTACAATACTGCTAATATTACTGTAATCAGACGCGTTCCACTGAAGATTTTCATCCCGCCAAAGCTGTGTTGTAAATCAGTAATGAGATATTTGTATTACGTTAACACGTGTTGTAAATCAGTAATGAGATATTTGTATACGTTAACACGTGTTGTAAATCAGTAATACAAATGAGATATTTGTATACGTTAACACGTGTTGTAAATCAGTAATGAGATATTTGTATACGTTAACACGTGTTGTAAATCAGTAATGAGATATTTGTATACGTTAACACGTGTTGTAAATCAGTAATGAGATATTTGTATACGTTAACACGTGTTGTAAATCAGTAATGAGATATTTGTATACGTTAACACGTGTTGTAAATCAGTAATGAGATATTTGTATACGTTAACACGTGTTGTAAATCAGTAATACAAATGAGATATTTGTATACGTTAACACGTGTTGTAAATC